ATTTTAGTTGCATTCCATGGAAGAAACAAGGAGCTATCAGTCCATATTGATTGAAACACAATTGTTTCCCATGTCACTTTACTAGACAATGAAAACCACATTCGTTAAAAGGAGCAACTAGTCCATCTGAAAAAAATGCACTATAAATTGGCATTGTTTCACTTTCTTAAAGAAGTTCTATTCTACAAAGTAATGATTTCGTAAGTATCTGATCTGACAATCTGAGAACTGGAATTGGTAATTGGTGACACTTACGGAGGCGTCCTGCCATCCATCTGGCCTCATTCATGAACTCATCTTTTGTTAGCAATGCCATTCATGTGTGAAGTTTGATACTAAACTGCAAGAACAGCATCTGTGACCAATACTGAGGTACTCCAAAGTGTACTCAAAACCAATGACAGACTGTCACCAACAAAACAGAACCTTAAATCTAAGCTACAGGAAGATCACAAACAGGCAATTTCTGTGTAGGATGTTCAGTGTAGTGACAGAAACCAGCATCTATACCATCTGAAAGTAGCAGAAGCATAATTCTTGAGTGAAGGAGGGTGATGATAACTGTTGAGCCCAAATTAATCTTACAGATCACAGGAAATACATTATCTAAGGGATACTATATTTTGGATATCTGGAATAAAATGCACAGAGGCCTAGATACATATAAAAAGTCTATTATATGTAAGCGAGAAGTCCTGAATGTAAGGTCTGTATATGAGTATGTATGTACAAATAAGAAAGGCACCAGGGTGAATTTTTCAGTTACAATTTTGGTATTGACTGAATGGAAGAAATGGAACAGTTTTAATGGTTTTAGTTAACTAACAAAATTAGTTTTGTGCTTTAAAAGACCACCCTCTAAGTATCTCCATTGGGATTAAAAGACCACCGTCTAAGTATCTCCAAGACTGGAGGCAGTAAAATTTGTTGAGGTCCAGGGAACATCAATAGGAGAGGGCAGAGAGAACTTAAGATCCAGAAGAGAGAGAAGAGCTGTGAAGTGCTGTCTTCTGGGCATTAGGTAGGCACTGCAGCCATCATCTCACAGTGGCTACGGCTGCCTGCACTGGGCCTGCACAAGGCTGAGCCTGTTACAAATATGTCAAGAATTGAGATCTATACTAATTGGGTCAGAGGGACACAAAGGACACTTTTTGCTCCTTGCCCTCCTAGGTCGATTAGTTCCCAGGGATCAGGAGCATCTCCCAAAATGTCCTGTAATGGTGGTGGGTCATCTGACCTCTTGATCAAGGAGGCCAAGGAGACCCCACCAGATGGACTTGAACCAGTGTCCA